AGAGCCACAGACTTCTTTATATCTCTCCTTTTGCACTTAATAACATGACACAGACCTCGACTCCAGAAACCGCTGAGTGACAAATATATCTAGAAAGAAATTTTGTTCTTTTTTTACCCTGAATGCTGTACCCAGCCTAACATGTTCCTCAAAGCAGTTTCCAAAGTATGTAATGGAAGTGAGAGTACAAAGTAGGCCATGGAACTCACCCCCCCTCTTATTCAGCCCAAGGGCCACATTCCTTTCTAGACAACCTTTCAGGGGCCCCGTGCTAGCCGTGGGCAGAGACCCAGGCAAATGTGAGTGGAGCAACAAATGTCAGTTTTTACCTTTGTGCAGTAGACTGGTTTCTACACACTGACACACCTTTCTCTCATCTCTCCCCAGGTAAGGAAGAGGCGCTGTCAGAGTTCAAGGTCACATTTCCAACCAACACTGGGGGTGGGGAGCGGGGTCAGGGAGAGGTGTGATCTGGAGAGAGTTCTGGGGGCCAGGTAAAGCACCCTTGCGGGCCACATTCAGTGCCCTGGCTTCAAGTCCACCACTCCTGTTCTGAAGTCTCCTAAAACATGGCTTAGTGGGCACCAAGACTGTCCATGTCCCTTGATCTGATTTGGGGCCTGGTTTGGTCTTTCAAACTGGGTGGTGCTGTGGGTTAAACCACAGAGCCTAGGACTTGCCGATCAGGTCAGCGGTTCGAATCCCCATGACGGGGTGAGCTCCCGTTGCTTGGTCCCTGCTCCTGCCAACCTAGCAGTTCGAAAGCACGTCAAAGTGCAAGCAGATAAATAGGTACTGTATTGCTCTGGCGAGAAGGTAAATGGCGTTTCCGTGCGCTGCTCTGGTTTGCTAGAAGCGGCTTAGTCATGCTGGCCACATGACTCGGAAGCTGTACGCCGGCTCCCTCGGCCAGTAAAGCGAGATGAGCACCGCAACCCCAGAGGCGGTCACGACTGGACCTAATGGTCCGGGGTCCCTTTACCTTGGTCTTTCAAACACATGTTAAATGCAAGCTCTGACCCAGGATGAGCCTGACCGGGAACTGGGCCCTGAACTTAATCAGGGGTCTGGCACAGCCTTTAAGTAGATTTTAATCCTCTGAGTAAACATGCTGTCAAAGGAAGGAGACCCACACTGTCTACTGCATGGGTAGGCTAACTAAGACCCAGGGGCTGGATCCGGCCCAATCGCCTTCTAAACCCGGCCCACGGACGGTCCGGGAATCAGCATGTTTTTACTTGAGTAGAATGTGCCCTTTTATTTAAAATCCATCTCTGGGTTATTTGTGGGGCATAGGAATTTGTTCATTCCCCCCTCCAAAAAAATATCATTCGGCCCCCCACAAGGTCTGAGGGACAGTGGACTGGCCCCCTGCTGAAAACGTTTGCTGACCCCTGGGTCTACTGCATGCATCTCTTTCTCCTAATCCCCCACCACTCAACTGCCCCCCTGCCCCACCTTGACAGCTCTGGATCTTTCCAGGAGGACACAAACTGACCTCAACTTGCTCTGGGTAAATCCTGGGCTGACCTGAATCAGTCTGGGATTCTGAATTGAGCTGGAGCAAATACCGTATTTTTTGCTCTACAAGACTCACTTTTTCCCTCCTAAAAAGTAAGGGGAAATGTGTGTGCGTCTTATGGAGCGAATGCAGTGTGCGCAGCTATCACAGAAGCCAGAACAGCAAGAGGGATTGCTGCTTTCACTGCGCAGCGATCCTTCTTGCTGTTCTGGCTTCTGAGATTCAGAATATTTTTTTTCTTGTTTTCCTCCTCCAAAAACTAGGTGTGTCTTGTGGTCTGGTGCGTCTTATAGGGTGAAAAATACGGTACATACCATAATGGGGACCACACCACTACTAGATACACACCACCACCTATTGTAGAATCATAGAGTTGGAATAGACCACAAGGGCCATCGAGTCCAACCCCCTGCCAAGCAGGAAACACAATCAGAGCACTCCTGACATATGGTTGTCAAGCCTCTGCTTAAAGACCTCCAAAGAAGGAGACTCCACCACACTCCTTGGCAGCAAATTCCACTGTCGAACAGCTCTTACTGTCAGGAAGTTCTTCCTAATGTTTAGGTGCAATCTTCTTTCTTGTAGTTTGGATCCATTGCTCCGTGTTCGCTTCTCTGGAGCAGCAGAAAACAACCTTTCTCCCTCCTCTATATGACATCATTTTATATATTTTAACATGGCTATCGTATCACCCCTTAACCTCCTCTTCTCCAGGCTAAACGTGCCCAGCTCCCTTAGCCGTTCCTCATAAGGCATCGTTTCCAGGCCTTTGACCATTTTGGCTTGCCCTCCTCTGGACACGTTCCAGTTTGTCAGTGTCCTTCTTGAACTGTGGTGCCCAGAACTGGACACAGTACTCCAGGTGAGGTCTGACCAGAGCAGAATACAGTGGCACTATTACTTCCCTTGATCTAGATGCTATACTCCTATTGTAACAGCTACTAAAGAAGTCTTCTTTCCAGATTAATTCTGCCCTTTTGTGGGACATGCAAAACACTCTGCCTAACAGCAGGGCTGGTCCTGCATCATGGCCATTCCCTCCTACTGACCCACATGTCATGGAACCACAGAATCATAGAGCTGGGACGGACCACAAAGGGCCATCTAGTCCAGCCCTCTGCAATGCAGGGATCTTTTGCCCACCATGGGGCTTAAACCCACAAACCTGAGATTAAGAGCCTCATTCTCTACCCACTGAGCTATCCCAGCTTTATCTACCCTGTGGGATAGATAGAATACGGAAGAGAAATGGAATATCTCTCATGCCTCGGTTGGTTGGCAGGGATGGGAAGCTGCATTTCCTCCTAGGCAACTTTCTGAGGGCCAAATGCCAGAGATGAGCAGGGCCAGAGGCAAAAGTGGTTGCTGCAACCAATGTACATTTTTTCCTTTGGATGGTAGGCTGTCTTCTACACATGTACCGTATTTTCCGCTCTATAAGACGCACCAGACCATAAGACGCACCTAGTTTTTGAAGGAGGAAAACAAGAAAAAAAATATTCTGAATCTCAGAAGCCAGAACAGCAAAAGGGATTGCTGTGCAGTGAAAGCAGCGATCCCTCTTCCTGTTCTGGCTTCTGGGATAGCTGCGCAGCCTGCATTCGCTCCATAAGACGCACACACATTTCCCCTTACTTTTTAGGAGGGAAAAAGTGAGTCTTATAGAGCAAAAAATACGGTACCTCTCTGTCCTCCAGCAAAACAGACAAGGGGGTGTCACCAGAGTTTCAAGGCACATTCTGACCATGCTAAAATGCTTGGAGTGCATGTAAGAAGCAGGCCCTGTGCAGGAGGCCCACATAAACCAAAGTAAGTTTAAGGGTTATGGGTGAAATGGAAACCCCTATGTAACTTGCCTGGGACGTGGGAGGCGCTGTGGGTTAAACCACAGGGCCTAGGACTTGCCGATCAGAAGGTCAGCGGTTCAAATCCCGTTGCTCGGTTCCTGCTCCTGGCAACCTAGCAGTTCGAAAGCACGTCAAAGTGCAAGCAGATAAATAGGTACCACTCCGGCAGGAAGGTAAACGGAGTTTCCGTGCGCTGCTCTGGTTCGCCAGAAGCGGCTTAGTCATGCTGGCCACATGAGCCGGAAGCTGTACCAGTAAAGCAAGATGAGCGCCGCAACCCCAGAGTCGGCCATGACTGGACCTAATGGTCAGGGGTCCCTTTACCTTTATGTAACTTGCCAGGGGTGCCAACTTGAATAAAATATTTTTTTTGGGGGGGGGAGACACAGATAAGCCCTGCCCCGCATGATCTATCACAAGACACATGATCTATCACAAGACGTGGTGCAGGCACACCATTTGAATGGCAATGCTCATCAACTTGGGGGGGGGGTCAAATATTTTATTGGGAGGGCTGAAGAGACCCCTGCCCTAGGACCCCTGCTGCACCGTCCCTACAATAGATGCATTTCATACCGGCCACACTTATCTCCAGAGAGCATTGCAAGTCAGTTTTAACTGCAATTCACCAGACTTTCCAGTGATCTGAACGGAACTTGCTCTTAAGAAAGTGCAACCCACTGGCTCTTAAGAAAGTACAACCCATTATGTGATCCACGGTTATTTGGGAAACCACAAGGACCTAATCTCTAGGCATCAGGTAAATTTGCAAGGGTGTGATCCTGTTCAATTTGAAACCAGGGTGTTATCCAACCAACATATGAAAGCTCGAGCTGTAAGCTTATTCACACTTACGCTATTAGCTCAGCGGGACGTACTAGCCAAAGGCTGCAGGCTCCGGATGTCAGGCTCTGACCTTTTTCATACTTCGACAGTAAACCCTCCTTGGACTCAGCTGGGGCTTACTCCCGAGTAAGCATATGTAGGCTGCAAGCTTATTCACACCTACTCACATCCCCAGGTCGGTGAGACTTGCTTCCAAGTAAACACTCAGGATCGGGCCGCCAAGCAAATCATACTTACTCCAGAGTAACACAACCCCCCCCAACTCAGCGGGACTTACTGCCACGTAAACGCACGCAGGATCGGGCCGAAAGCCAGATCACACTTCCTCTGGAGTAAAGCGCACGAGCTCCGGTGGGATCGCTACCGAATAAGTACGCGGAGGCACGGGCAAAACAACCGAAGCCGCGCTTACTCTAGAGTAACTCCCCTCCAGTTCCAAAGGGACATCGGGGGTATGCCGCGCGGAGGATCGGGCCGCAAATCGAGCCGTTCTTACTTAATCTGGCGCAAAGGCAGCGAGCCCCGTTGGACTTGCCTGCGGGTAAGCACGCGCCCGAGCTGCTCACTCTCGAGTAAGCACCCCGGAACTCAATGGGATTACTCGCGAGTAATTGTGCCTCTGCTCCCGCTGCTTCTGGAATGTTAGAGGAAGCCATCCCGCCCCCCGCCCCCCCCCCTTCCAGCCTTGGAGTTTTCCACTCCAGACCCGCAAGGAGGGGGGAAAAATATAAAACCCACCCCAACCCTTGCTCCGATTGGAGGGAGCCCCCAAAGGTTACCGCCTCCTCCTCTCGCTCGCTTGCTCTTTCTCTGCGTGCGAGCGCGTCTGTGTGATGGAGATTTGTCTCTCGTAAAGTCTCTCCCAGGATTTGCGCTCGCCGGAGGCTTTTGCAGCGAAGCAGAGCGGCCAGCTGGACGGAGAGGAGCAATTGCCACCAGAGATTCCGGCGGGGAGAACCGAAAGCGGTGGGAAAGGTCGTTTCCAGACGCCCCTGGAGTTGCTTCCAAACAGAAGAGAGAGAGAGAGAGGAAGACGCCGCGGAGAAACAGCGAAAGATTCCGCCCTCCCCGCGCCCACGACCGTCTCTTTCTTCTTCTGCCCAACTTTTGCGCAGCGCGGGGCTCGAACCTGCGGCTCCGCGGACGGGGAAAAGTTTGCAGAGCGATCCGAGGGTGCTCCGCGTCTTCCCCCAGCCTCCCCAACCCCCCTCGATGCTCCTTCGGCCCGTGTCGCGCACCTGCACCTTATCCGGTAGAACAGAAGCGTCTCTGGATGCCTAGGTGTTGTGGGGATTTTGGGGGGCTGGGAGGGGGCTCCTCCTTCCACCCCCATTCAGGAAGAACCTAAGTCATGGCGAAGAGGTGATCAGCCAGGAACTTCCATCCGGCCCCGAGGAAATGCAAAGGTGGAAATATTTCAGAAGAGCAGCTTTTTGACTTCTAAGGAGAAGCTGCAGCAAATCCCCGTTTTACAGCTCCCGGTTCCTCACCTCTTTTCCGGGAGTTCTTCAACATGGGTGCTCTGCCGATTGCCCCTGTGGCCTTCAGCTTGACTCTGGGCGCTCTGCTATGCCGAGGTGAGTGCGTCTGCTTCTGTGCCCTTTAAGCAACAGCTATGGGAAGTTTTTGACAGCTGGGCTGGGCTGGGGGTTTCCCTTGCTAAGAGAAGGGCAGGGAGATCTGACTGCTTGTTCGAGGTATGGAGGTTGAAAAGGCTACAGCAGTCTGCAACTGGCAAACTTACTAGGAAAATGCAAGTGGGATAGGGATGAGCGAGAATGGAGAAGCTATCCCATGACCAAGGGAACCTTTGACCCTCCAGATGTTACTAAACTCCTACTCCTAGCAGTCTTGGGCAGCTTGATTGTGGATGCTGTTGTCCAACAACATCTGGAGGGCCACAGGTTCCCTGTTGTTTGGCGATATTTGGAGGCCCGTGGGAGTTTGTCGTGGAATTGGAAAGCCATAGTCTGTAATGCACACTTGCCAGATACCTACTAACCTCCTTGTTCTGAAGCAACGATGTCCCGTCGGCATTCATTTGTGGTGAGCGACCATCTGCTCAAGATAACCATCCTATAAAGACTTTGCAAACTGGAAGAGACATGGTCCTTTCCCCCTCTCCCCCCTTTTCTTCTCCAGGCCATCAGCATGTTACAAATGGCCAACCCTGGAAAGACTGAGCAGATGGGCTACTAACACATGCACATCCTCCTCAGGGACCAGTGACTTTAGTCGGCAGGTAGGCTGGAGGAGGGGGAGACCGACCACAGAGCAAAGGGCTCCCAGCAATTGAAGCTGGAGCTGTGTCACATACTTGAAGGGAAAACCCCCTCCCCTCCATCGCCATGCCAGCCCTAAGCATGGGGAAAGCCCATGAACCCAATATTACCCCTTCCACCCTGTTTGTTTTGAGTGCAACACTAAACCACCTGTCAGCCTGCTTGTCTGGGTTTCTGATGAAGCCCGAGGACAGGGGAAACCTCACCACATCGGCTCCACAATTTCCCCAGGCATCCCCCCCCCAACCCGCATGTGTCATTGTATACAATGCCGTCTATTGTGGGGGCTCTTGAAAACTTGTCTTGCGGGTCCTTAGATTTCCCATTCTCTCCCTCCTTCCAAAATTGTGACGCATTCACAGGCTACCGGTTCCCTGAAAGCAGATTGTATCCAACTTTTATACGCTGCCTCCTTCCTTATAACTTACTGGCTTTTGTTCTGTGATGTGGGGACAACCTCACTTCTCTCTTGTTGCAGTGTGCTTTGACCCTCTCTCTCTCTCTCTCTGTATGTATGTACTCGGGGGTTTGCATATAGCCTGGGTTTGGTATGGAAGATTCCTGGGACTAGAAGTCTGTGCCTTTCAGCTGGCTCTGAGCTCTGACTCCCACGTTTTTGCCTCTTTCCCACTTGTTTATCCTTGCTCTTACGGGTTTGGGGTGAGGGTGATGAAATTAATTAGGGGGAGGAAGGTGGTTTGTGTTGAGTTTGTAACACAGTTAGTAGCACATCAATTTTACCTTTTCTGTTTGCTTCTTGTTCCTAAGTGGTTAGGCTCAGAGGAAGAGCTGTAGCTCAGTGGTAGAACATCTGCTTTGCCTGCAGAAGGTTCCAGGTTCCAGGCCCTGCATATCTAGGTATGGCTGGAAGAGACCCCTGTCTAAATCTCTGGAGAGTTGCTGCCAGTCAGTGTTGGTAGTACTGCGCTAGATAGACCAAAGGTCTGACTCAGGAAAATTGCAGCTTCCTATTTTCCTTTGTTTTTGATGCTCATTCCACACACACCAGTTTATACCAATTTGGAGCAAGGCACAGAGACTGAGGTGAAACCTGTTTTTCATATACATGTACCTGGGAATAAGTCCCATTGAACTTCTGTAGCAGAGATAGCCAACACGGTTCTCTCCAGATGTTTTTGGACTACAGCTCCCAGAAACCTCAGCCGGCATAGTTGATGGCCAGGGATGATGAGATTTGTAGTCCACAGCAACTGGAGGGCACCACACAGACTATCCCTGTTGCGATTTTTTATAGACTGTGTGTTTCTGGAAGTGACAGCTATCAATTCAGGGCTGTATCCAATAAGCATTCTTTGCTTTTCCTGAATCAAGTTTAAGAAACACTTCTGTCACTAGGAAGAATCTTTGGCATGTCTGAAAGCAAGGTACCGTCCTTGTTTAGGGAGGAAAGCCAAACATTTGTTCCATGTATCCACGGAAGTTGGTGTGTGTGAACATTTCATTAAGGTGGGAATGTGCTATCGAACAACCATGCCCAGAAAAAAAATGTTGGATTGGGATATCCATCCAATCAAGGGAGAACTAAAATGTGCATTATTGTTAAACTGTGCAAAAGCTGTAAATGTGCCTAATTCCAGCTTCCTAGATTGTGTGGTAGGATATTAGAATTTTGTTTTTATATACTTACACATGTTTGAGGGCTAGAAGAGGTATATATATATACGTATATCCACACCACACAATTTCATCAATACACAACACCTAAGCAAAACACTGGGGTGCCTTTATAGGTATACGGTAAATTTTTAGGCTTGTCTCAATTCCTTGATCTGAAATCCTGCAGCAGAGATCACCTCCTCATCTCCCTCCCAAGATGCTAGCAAGTTCAACCCTCCCCCACAAAACCACCTTGTGATGTCTGAGCATCTGGCTTTCAGTTTGGGCTAGCCCTCGTGCCTTCTGCCCTGCTGTGACTTTTGAAGATTCAAGGTGTCACAGGGCAATATTGCCAGTGAGGATGGCCTCTGGTTCCATTTTTGGCTCTGTCGCTGATGCATTCCACTTGACCCGTAAACAAATTTTATTCCTCCTCTTATCTTATCCTGCCAGCATCGGCTGTGCTGTTGGGGGAGTGACGTAAGAATCTTACTAATAAAAGACTCTTGGCTTTGAAAGCTGTCTGCTGCAAGCCTCTGGCAACCCTTTTTCGCCATCCCCTCTGACATGATAGTCCTGAAGTTTATGGGAGTCTCTGAGAAGCGAGAGGCATGGGATGAATGAAATGAATTGGTGTGTTTGGGTTTTCCTTTTAGTTTCCCATGGAAGGGACTTGGCTCTTATGTGTTTATATAGCACCATTCTTGTGCATAGCACTTTACAAAATACAGGTCCCTGTCCTTAGGAGGCTAAAATCTCAAATTCCGTGCAGCAGAGATGGAAGCAATGGGAACCAAGGAAGAATATGCATTGGTTTTTTTTCTTTTCATTTGTCAGTCCTGGACTTCCCAGTTTTCTGGGCTCTGTTGAGAGGCCCCAGCTTTTAGTATTAGGCAAGAAGTGGGGAAGCATGCTTCTGTATTCTGGTTGCTGGGAGATGTGATAGCCTTCTTCAAATATCCAAAAGACTGTCGCATGGAAGATGGAGCAAGCTTGTTTTCTCCTGCTCTGGGGAGGGGCTGGGTAGGACCCAAACCAATGGATTCAAGTTACATGAAAGGAGATTTCCACTAAATATCAGGAAGAACTTTCTGGTGATAAGAGCTGTTCACCAGTGGAGGGACTCCCTCAGAAGGTGTTGGAAGTTTTTAAGCGGAGGTTGGATCATCTGTCATGGCTACTTTAGTGGAGATTCCTGCATTGCAGGGGGTTGGACTAGATGATGAAGGCCTGGAAACGATGCCTTATGAGGAACGGCTAAGGGAGCTGGGCATGTTTAGCCTGGAGAGGAGGAGGTTAAGGGGTGATATGATAGCCATGTTCAAATATATAAAAGGATGTCATATAGAGGAGGGAGAAAGGTTGTTTTCTGCTGCTCCAGAGAAGCGGACACGGAGCAATGGATCCAAACTACAAGAAAGAAGATTCCACCTAAACATTAGGAAGAACTTCCTGACAGTAAGAGCTGTTCGACAGTGGAATTTGCTGCCAAGGAGTGTGGTGGAGTCTCCTTCTTTGGAGGTCTTTAAGCAGAGGCTTGACAACCATATGTCAGGAGTGCTCTGATGGTGTTTCCTGCTTGGCAGGGGGTTGGACTCGATGGCCCTTGTGGTCTCTTCCAACTCTATGATTCTATGATCCTTTGGTACCCTTCCAACCCTACAATTCTATCATTCTGTGATTCCAAGTGGAGAGAGCCTTGTAGCACTCATGTACTGCTTGCAAGCTTCCTCTAAGCCAACTGTGAGAATAGGATGCTGGATTAGATGGGCTTTTGCTTGTACTTATGAAGGAGAAAACCCCATCTATCTTATTTTCACACCATACATAATGGTATTCCCTTCTATCATGTCCCCCTCCTACTTTTTCTAAACTAAAAAGCCCCCAAATGTTGCAACTGTTCTTCATAGGGCAGCTGCCCCAGGCCTCCTCATTTGGGTGGCTCTTTCCTGCACCATATGCAGCTTACAGTATCCTCCTGAAGGCAGACCAGCCAGAACTGGACATAGTATTCCAGGTGTGGTTGCGCCATATAGTAGCATAAAATACATTATAATACTGGGTGCTTTATGCTCAGTCTCTTTCCTAATGGTTCCTAACATGGACTGTGTCCTTTTCCTAGTCACTGCATACTTGGTTGATGTTTTCATTGAGCTCTCTGCTAAGTCTTGATCAATTTTGTATGTTCCTTTCTGCACCTATGCACAGCATCGCAATGTATTCATGGCATCATGGATGCTGGGTAATAGATGCCCTCTCCAGCCAACCCCCCCCCCCCAATTTGAACTGTCTATGCTGAACATGTTTGGCATTAGGCTTTTTGATGCAAAGATGTATTTGCATTGGGCATGTGGGAGATGCTTTCAAAACTAGCTTTCCCTCCTAGAGTCATTGCATTTTCAGTTGCCATAAGCCCTAGACGGTAAGCTTATGTTTTGACTGCAGCACTTCAGAGTTCAGATAAAAGCTCAGGCTTGTGTGCAAGGGCAACAACAAGCTGTAGGAACTATTGGAACCACGGGTGGCTGCTCTGTGTGGTGAAAACATCTCAGTGAGGTACTTTCAGGCCCAACCAGACTCAACCCAATTGGGCTGGCTGTCCCGGACACAAAGGAATCTAAAAGGACTTTCTGTTCCAGTTGAAGTTTCCTTGAGCAATTAGGACTTCCTGAGCTCTG